GTTAGGCAGATTTAAACCCTTTTCTTTGGTTCTGAAAGCGTGTTCCCATCAACCACGTGGGTTTGTGACAAAGAAATGATGAGCTGTGAACAAGTCTTGTCAGGACTGATGGAGGGGGCCCAGAGGAGGACAGGAGGGGGCCCAGAGGAGGACTGATGGAGGGGGCCCAGAGGAGGACTGATGGAGGGGGCCCAGAGGAGGACTGATGGGAGGGGTGGAGGATGTTACCTTGTGGCTGCTGATGATCCGTGGCGCGAGCAGGGACTGCTGGGTGCAAATAATCTTCTTGCGCTGCTTCAGCTCCACCGTCAGCGCCTTCGCCTTCTCCTCCTGCTTCCCGAGGCGAGCCAGCAGCTGCTCGCGCTRGCCGCCGGCCGCCACCAGCCGCTCCTCCGCCGCCCGCAGGTTCAGGCTCAGGAACTCCTGGCAGTGCAGGAGCCACTCCACCGTCAGCTGGGCCAGCTGCAGGAGCTTGATCAGCGCCGGGTCCACGGGGCTCTGGCACCGCTGGCACCGCTCGCCGTCCAGGCTGCAGAAGGTCACGGCACCGATGTGCTCCTGCAGGGCGTCCACGTCCAGCTGGCTCACCACCAGGTCCACGTCCACGGCGTTGATGCGGCGCCAGTCCACGCTGCCCCTGCGGGGGCGGAACCTGAAGGGGGCGAAGGTGGAGGTGCCGCTGGACGGCGTCATCCCTGCAGGTGCGGCGCTGAGTGGGGAGTTCAGGAGGGAGGGGATCCCCGCTGAGGAGTGGGTCCCCTGGGTCTCGCTGCGGTAGGGGTAGTAGACTCCATCTTGAAACGGCTGAAACAAAGACAGGCTTTAGAGCGGCTCCTCTCGCTGCAGGAAAAGAAGGTGAAACAGCCCGAGCAGGCTGCTGCTGCTGCTGCTGCTGCTGCTTACCATCCTCCACGGGTTCTGGCTGAGAGACGCTGGTTCCGCCCCCTCACGGCGACAGGCAGGGCGTCCGGCTGGTTACCATGGAGACAAAGACCAGCGTCCCTGGAGGACAGGAATGTTATCAAAACACAGCAGGCAARAAGCCAAACCTGCGTCCCCACAGAGCCAGGATTACTGCAGTAATGACAGTCTGCGTTAACTACTTACATCTCAATTTAAAAAAAGCGGAGAAGAAGAAAAGACMAACTTAACCGAGTGTGCACGCGACGGGGGGAGAATTTCTTGCTAGCCGCCTATGTCCCCGCTTCTAAAGCAAGTCGGGACAGGTTTTTTTCATCCACTTCTCCTCCTTAAAAATAAATAAATAAGCAAGCTCCAACTTGTCATTAACAGCAGAAAATACGACTTAAGGCTACGACTAAATAAACACCTCAGTTATCTTCCAACAACCACGAACTGACGTCGCAAAGCGTCCGTCACGCTCGCCTGGCTAACGGACACGTTTTTTTTAAATAAGCAGTAAAATTAAACAATCACTAAAACCATTAAAACTAATCAAATGTGATTTGCACGGAACGACTTTATAACAGCAACTTACTGTAGGAGTTGTATCGTTGAATGACAGCCTTGAAAAAGTTTTACATCGAACGACACCCCGGGCGCTTTGAGGGTGACGTAGCTGCTGGTCTCCACATTCCTAAATCTCTGGAACAGAAGAAGAAAAGAAGAGCGCCATTAAGTTAAGTCTAAAAAATACACCACTTCCGGCTAAGGCCTTCAAAGTAAAGGATGTCTAACTGACAAAACACATATTGTTTAAACAAAAAGCGATTCTATGGCCAGAAGTGTTACAGTTTTTTAATTAAAGATAAGTACTTGAACAGAAACTTGACTTTAAAGCGTGATTAAACTGGTTTATGTAGATTTTAAATTTTACTTTGAAAGTACAAAACGTATTTCCGGTGTTACCCTGTCACYTTTTGAGCCAAGTAAGATGGGGGGAAGGGAGAAGCAGCCTTTTTTTAAACAAGGGGGAGTAAAAAAAACACTTAGGGATGAGAGGGTGCCTATTTCAGTGGAAGAAACAGAAACGAAAAGGGGTTTTAAAACTATTATTATTAGTTATTATAAGTTAATACCCCCCCATAAAACAGATAAATAAAAATAAATAAGTAAGAAATAAAAAAACACCCACAAATGTTTCCATCTAAATACTTTTTCTTTGTTGTATGAGGTTCATCCAAAGTACAAATTCACTGCAAATAC